TGGTGTACCCAAGCCAAGACGTGAGGTGCGAGTCAACAGGGGAGAATGGCTGTTTTGCCCCATGGCTGCCTGGGCACACACATGGATTTCTGAGCTGGCTGCAGACTTTGTGGTGGCTTTGTGTTCCAAGAGCTGGCTTCGGCAAAGCTTAGCAAGCACAGTGTGTGCCCTTCAGGAGGCTTGGGACTCATCAGGTATGACTAACACTCACTCATTCATCTTCGGATGAATTTGTGTGGCATGCTGGGGTGCTGACAGAACCCGAGTTGAAAACATTGTTTATTTATATCTGCACACAATAATTCAAGTCTCCCGAAACCTCGGGCTTTCTCCGAATTCGCTCAGCACTTGCAAATACTTGTAGTTCTTTCCACTGGCGATCCCTGCTTTGCTTTGGCTGGGTTTGCCTAAATGAAAAGGAGCACAAGACAGTGAACGGTGCTGAGTGCTTTGGTCCACACATTGAATGGGAGCCTTTGCTTATGTGATGTGTCAGAAACCCTGAGACTTCCAGGCTTCTTCTGGTTTGTGCCTTCATGACTGATTAATACTGCGTTTGCCTTGTTGATGCTAGAAGATGCTTTAAACTGTATGCCTGTGTGTGACAGTGAATGTGTGTGTCTGTGTCAGTCTCTGTGTGTGTGTGTATGTGTATTGTGTGACTGCATGAATGTGTGTGTCTGTTGTGAGTCTCATTCTTTCTCTGTGTAAGTCTCTCTCTCTCTCTCTCTCTCTCTCTCTCTCTCTCTCTGTGTGTGTGTGTGTGTGTGTGTGTGTGTGTGTGTGTGTGTATAGCCAGATCAGATAGAACCTTTTGAAGTCCTGGTTAGATGCTGGGCCATTTTTTTTTGTTCTTTTGATTTGCTCCTTTTTGTGGTGTTGGGGATTGAACCCAGTGCCTTAAGCCAATGCTGGACTCTCTGTAACTATTCAATGCTTTTATGGAATATGAAAGTTCCTTCCAGCTTCTGTTGCAGAAAATTCAAATGTGTAGAAAGCAGAGGTTAATATAATGGCTTCTTTCCCATCTGAGTCAGTATAACTCCCAGTTAATCATATTTTCTTTGCAGTGACAACCACTTTCCCACATCAACTACTAGGCACTCCAACTGCCAGAAAATATGAAACTCAAGTAGAAAATCTCAAGTTTTCATGTGTACTGGTGAATTGTATGGTGAAAGAAAAATAGGTCAAGCCTCAGGGAGTCAAGCCGACCTGCCCTGCCCTGAATCAAGCCTGACCATTGTATTTGATTAATCTTAGGCTATGCAGCCTTTCTGAGTGACATCTATAAAATAAAACTTGTAGAATGTAAATTATCAAATTATAATTTAAAATTATAAATTGAACCCATGACTTCCCTAAAGCACCAAGTACCACCCTTTATATCTTAGATGGAGTGTCATTGTATTTGGTTACTGTTTTAGCTTCTCTGCTTGAAATGGAAAGTCTAAAACACAGAGTGGTAATGCATTCCACAGTATTAAACAACCAAATAGGTTGATAAATATGATTTGTTCATGTGTGGAGGACTTTAATTGGAATCAAGTACCTATTAAGTGTAAGAGCTGCAGTTGCAAATTTGTTATCTACTAGAGGTTGTTGCCTGACAAGTTCAAGGGCAAACAGACATTCCTCAACTGAGAGTTCACCAATACTGCCTTAGGGATCGTTATTATTTGGGTTAGGTTCTGACCATGCAAACCAGGTGATCATTTTGTGTTCCTCAGTTGTTTTCAGTTAGCTGCTTGGCATAAGATACCCAACTACCAACAAAGGAGAAGCTGGATGTTAGATAGTATCAAGGTGTTTGAGAAGCCAGGAGGCCAGAGGGTTCAGGTACAGGCAGACCTGAGATGGGGGCAACACGGCTGGATGGGTGGGCGTCGTGCAGCCCTGGGAAAATCTGAAAGTAAGATTGCCCTGGATGGTATGTGCACTGAGCCTGTGGCAAGGAGCCATGGGAATAAATGTTCCATCTGTTTCGGGGTTGGTGTGAACTCAGAGACATCCAACTCAACAACAACAAAAGTACTCTTTTTGTGAAAGTGTCAACTAATGAATAATCCTTTGTCTTGTTTTAAACTGAGAAATAAAAGTTGTGTAGGTTTATAGTATGGAACACAATGCTTTGAAATATGGCTGTATCATGGTGAACTGGCAGAGTCAAGTAAATTAAGGCAGGTGCCCTTTACCTCACATGCCTGTTGCTAGAACACGTACAATCCACCTTTTCTGGCTTTATTTTGGGGTGGGGGGCTGTTGTGAAGTGTATAAAACTGTGATAAACTCTAACTACAGTGCTGTACAATAGGTGTCTTGGAGTTAGTCCTCCTGTCTAAATTGAATTTCTGTCATTTACTCGACATCTCCTTCAACTGAGTTTCAAACTATTCTTTCTAAATAATCTAAAACCTAGGGCAGGTCACTCTGCCCCAGTGACTTACCAGTTTGGCTTTGGGAAGCATGTCTGTCGTGCTGGCAGGGCAAAACCTGTATCCCCTGCGTTTGCATCAGTCACAGACATCCATTTAGCCCTCTCCAAGGGAATCACTGATGCCCACCCCCGACCAGGGCAGCTCCCTGAGTGGTTCCCTCTTCCCAGGTAACTATAGTTCTGTCAAGTTGACCATAACCACCACATTATCCCAAGCGTAAAAGCAATCATATTCTTCAAAGTTATGTCATCATGATACTATTTTTTTAAAAAAATGTTTTTATTGAGCTATATATTTTTCTCCACTCCCCCCCCCTTCCTCTCCCTTCCCCTTCTACCCTCTCCCATGAACCCCATCTCCCAATTTACTCAGGAGAGCTCATCTTTTTCTACTTCCCATGGAGATTAGATCCATGTATGTCTCTCTTAGGGTCCTCCTTTGTTGTCTAGGTTCTCTGGGGTTGTGAACTGTAGGCCGGTTTTCTTTGCTTTATGTCTGAAAGTCACTTACGAGTGAGTTCATATGATAGATAACTATTCTTTTATCTTGGAATGACTATTCCAGAATTTTATCTACGAGCTCATATTTCCCTCAACCAGGTCTTTTAGGAGTGGAGGTACATTTTTTGGCTATTGATAGGTAACATATGACTGTAAGGGAGGAATAGCTACTTCTGTTATCCTGCCAAAGGAATGTAGCAATAAAATGATTCCTAACGGCACACTGCTGAGTCCACAGATAAGTGCCTCACTGAGCAGAGAGGGGACTGACCTGCAGAGCCGGAGAGCCTTGGCAGCACCCAACCCCACATCGGGTGTCTCTAACAGTCCCCACCCTGTAAGGTTCAGGGAGCTGTGAGTAAGAGGAGGAGAAAGATTCTAAGAGCCCCCAGTGGGGGGTGACTCCAAGGAGACTGTCTTCTGGAGACAGCAGGGCTGATGCCCACCTGAACTCACAGATGCTGCGGCAGCACACACAGACCTGCACAGGTTCAAACCAGACCAAACCCCAGAACTGAGAGCCGGAAGGGGAAGGGCAAGGATGGGACCACACCCCTAACTAAGAAGCTCTGTGCAATCAATTCCTGCTGGGAGAGAGAAAACCAGTTTTCTCCAGTGGAGAGGCATTGGGTAATATCAACCACACCCCAGAGCAGGCCAACTCCAGACCCAGGAGAAGGTGGCCAACAGGAAAACAACAGCACTCCATGCTTTCTGTGTGCTGTTTGTTTTGTTTGAGTATTCTTTTTTAAACTGTCTGTCTTTAAGGGTTTTTTTTAATTTTTTTTGGGGGGGTTGGATTGCCGGGAGGTGGGGTGGGTTTGAGAGAAGGAGAGAAAGAACAAGAAGTTGGGTTGGTAGGGAGGTAGGGAGGTAGGGAGGATCTGGCAGGGAATGGGGACGGGGAAAGACCATGACCGAAATAGATTGTAAAGCCAACAACAAGTAAACCAAGAATTTTTTGATAACTTTCAACAAAATAATGATAGAGTGGTATGAATTAATAATCATAAAATGAAATAAATATATTCCCCCAAAAGACCAGAAAAAGGATATAAAAGTCTTGCACTGTCTGGACATGGCCCAGCTGTGGGCCTCTGTGTTAGTTCCCATCTGTTGAAAGAAGAAGGTTCTCTAATGTGAACTGAACCCGGCACTGATCTATAGGTACAACAGTATGTCATTAGGGGTCATTTTATTATGATGCTCTTTTAGCAGGATGATAGCAGTGTGTTCTCTCCATTCGTAGTCATATATTACCTACCTGTCAATAGTCAAGAAATGTACCCATGTGATCTAGAAACTGAGCAAACCCAACAACTCCTGTAACAACCAACACCAGGGCTTAGTAGCTGTTAGGAATTCCATTTGGTTGCCAACTGTAAACACAGTCCTGAATGAAGTAACTTAGAGAGGAGACAATTTAATGACACTCAAATTATAGTGGCTTTGGGGTATTAAAGTACCTACCCCCAGATGTGCACTTTCGGTTAGAGTGAGTCAAAGCGACTGGGGAGGTTTGAAGGTATCGATCGGTACAGTCACCACCACTGTATAACTGCACCTGAGCCAGTAGCTGCTCTTGGATCCTCCTTTAGCATCTCTGAGTCCTGAACTAGTTGCATGGAATGAACGCTGCAGTGAAGGCCTTGATGGAGACTTTTTTAATTTTAAAACTTTATTTCTGCAAAGCCAATCAAGAAGTGTTGGAAGGAAAAAGTGTAAAAGTTATCCTTGCATATTTGGGAACTTCAACAAGCACTTAAAAGTTTGCGAAAGTGAGGACTTAAAACAATTGAATCAAAGGCAACACCCAGCAACATATATTTTAAAACAATAATGATGTCCTTTCTGAAGCAACATTTCTTTTTTTCCCCCCTAATAGCTACAATATGATACAGTACGCAACAGCTCACTTGAAAGTGCTAGAATCAGAGGGTAAAGAAAGCCATAAGCCATCCCACTTACATTTCCTACTATACAGTGCCTTTTTTTGGCGCTCGATACATCAAGCATTCATGTAGCAATACATTCAATAGAAACACCTCATACTTTGGTCCCTTCAAACTGATGCTTGTCCCTTCAGTTCCGATGTCATGACATCTGACTCTTCATCATTGTAAATATTTTCAGCCATCTGCCATTTCTGCATGATGTTATCTTCAGAGCAAATGACCCAAAGTTCATTGGGGTTTCAGCTGAAGTCTGAAATCTTGGCAGTGTGTCCTCCATGAATAAACAGGAGCTCTGGAGGCCCATCTTCTACATCTTCTGCTGATTGGTCTTCTCCAATTTTACTTAAATCCCATACATTCAGGCGGCGATCAGTACCACTTGAAGCCAGAATCATTTCATTATGTGGAGACCAGTGCACCTGAAAAATTTCATCCTTATGTGATACAAAAATATGGAGTTTTAGTTTTAGATTGCGCAGGTCCCATAAAGCTACAGTCTTATCTGCAGAGCCAGTTGCTAGAAAGAACGCTCTGTAGGGATTGAATGAGAGGCAGCTGACCTCAGCAGTGTGTGCATCCACCAAATGGCTTGGCTTTGAAGCCATTTAGTATTGGATCTGGTGTCCCATATCATAAGTTTCTGATCATCAGCAACAAATCTAAACAAGGACTCATGTAGCAGATGCCAGGCCACATCCCCTACAACAGCTGAGTGTCCAGTAAAGATTGCTTTAGCATCCACAATTTTGCCTTCCTTTGGTCCTGCATCTATATCCCACAGGCAGACAGTATGGTCATCAGATGCACTCAGAAGATGCCCACTTAAATTAGAATTCCAAGAAAGACCATAGCCTCCCTTTTGGTGACCTCTTAATCTGAGATCAGGATTACATTCTCCACTTGGATCTGGTTTAGCAGGGTGTTTTGTATAGTCAAAACCCAATACATCAGAAGATGGTGTTTTTGTGGCAATGATGTGAGGACTCTGTGGCATATAATGAGCACGGTTTACTTCTCCTTCATGATTAATTTTAATTTCACATTCAATTTTTCCTGTTACGGAATCAAAGCCACCAAATACTCCCTTGTCACTATCACAATGGGAAGCATCAAACTGTGCATCATCATTGGGAATATGAACTCGAGTAACCACCAGATGATTCTGCTCATCAGATGTATGAGTGCCCAGCACTAGCCAATGAAGGGCATAATCCTTTCCTTCTGGTTTAGTCACTTCAGGAAGCCACTGAACGGTAAGGCTAGGCCACTGAAGAACATGGGTCATAACCAGGTTATACAGAAACGATGTATTCTTCCAGATTTTATATTCTTCATTGATGACACGCTCCTCCACAGTATCTTCAAACATCTCTTTACTTGCCATCTTGTGTCGCGGTCGTCCCCCCCCCCCCCTTGCTGCCTTGCTGCCTTGCTGCCTCGTACTTCTCTCGGTAGCCAAGAGCCCCCGGATTGCAGGATTGCAGTGCTCTTGCCTTTCCCAAGCACGTCTAGCTCTGATGGTGTGAGCTCGGTCGGGTGAGCTCGGTCGGGCTGCCTGGGTGCTCCCCCCAGACGCTGTGTCCTTCTGCCCTGCCTCCTCCCCGCTTGTGGGTACCGAGATCTGAGACGCTCTTTTCTCTGATAGAGACTTTGTCTGTCCCCTCTCCACCACCTTGTATCACTTGGCCTTCTCAGCTGTCTGCAGTTTCTGGCACCAGACACTTAGAAAACAGTGTTATATTTACTGATTGAATTTCCCACCATGGCTTCAGGCCAGTCTATTTAGCAGGATGCGCACGCACACACACACACACTCTCACACACACGCTTGCTCATGAACCTTAGTAATTCTGCTTTTTTGATGGATACTGAATGGCACACAGAAGTCAGCCCAACTTACTTTGGAATGGTGGTTCTATCTAGGCCTGAGGGACTCTGGCCTCCATCTCTACTCTGCCTACTCCCTGGCAGGGATTTCTGCAGGGTCTGTCACAAAGTGTAGCCATCAGATTCTAACCATATCATTTCATGTTCAGGACAGAAATAAAAAGAGAGGTGGAGAGGGAGGGAGAGAATAAGGGAGGGAAGAAGGAAAGAAGGAAGGAAGGAAGGAAAGAGAGAGAGAGAGAGAGACGTGAAAGGCCAAATGATGAATTTCCCAAGATCACTTCAAAGTCGTTTCTATTGACTTTCTCTTCCTCTTATCTTCAGAATCAAGATGTGGATGTCTGATCCTTGGTCACATCTTCAGATTCTATTAGTAAAAAAATGAGAACTATAATAGAAGATAAACATCCAGGTCTACCAGAGACGGGGAAAGTGTGTAGGAACATGAAGTCCCAACATCTAAATGACAGCCATGCTCTTGTAGAGTGTGTGACTAACTAAGTCTGGTAGAAGAGCGGGTCTTACATGGATTCCATACAAAGGTGCATCTAGAAGAGACCAGAAACGAATCACAGCAAGATTTTGTGAGGACGACAATATAGAGTAAGCCTTCTACTTTTAGGGGAACCACTTCAGAACCCCAGGATGCCCAAGACCACAGATAGTGTCCGAGTCCACACATCCTGTTTTTTAGTTATGCAATGCAGTACCGGATTTTATATGCCATCATATGCTGTCCTCTGTGCTTTGGGGGTCATCCATTGCTAAGTAAGATGGGTGCAGATACTTGAATGCTGTGACAGTCAATCCTATAACCAGGATAAAGTGACCAGCTTGTAGGCATCACACTGCGCTGGACAAAGGGGCGACTCATGCAGGGCAATGTGAGATTGCATCATGCTTCTTTCAACTTAAAACTGGAATTTTCTACTTGATCCTTTCAGGTCCTTGTTTGCTGAAATGGCCAAAAGCAAAACCGCAGATAAGGGGGACTCCTGTCCAGCACACCCAAGGGCAGTTTTCCGGGAGAGGCTGTATTACACGCTGATTTCAAAGCGAAGGGCACAGCACAACGGAAGAGACACAGTGGTTGGTAAGAACATTGCGGAGCTGTGGGCTGGGAGACTGGGAAGGAAAAGGAAAGCTGAAATGTCTGCGACTGAAAGGTGTGAATCAATCGGCGCTAGCAGCTACCGCTGATGGTAAAGTTAGTGAATTTTTGACTTGGAAATTTTAGGCTTTGAGTCTGAATTTGTGTGTACGCCAGATATGATTTGAGAAATGGAAAGTTAAGAAATATGCAGGCTCCTTTATTTTCACTTGAGAACGGGAAAGTTGCTTTCTGAGTATAAACAACCGAAAGTTAGACACCAGCAACCAATCCTAGCGAACATCGAACATCATAGCTGTCCACACTACATGGGGAAAAATGTCTTCATTAGACACTGCCTCCCTTTAAGTCCGTGCCACTCACATGGCGACTCAGGCAAGCTGACATAAATTTCGGAGAGCTGTAAGGGGCAAGGAAGAGCCAAATGGAAAATCACTGGCTCTAAAACAGTGCCTATTCATGCCCAATCATTGCTTCATGGGGAGGAAGGCCAGAGACCTGTATTTACCAAACCTGTGTGGATTTACCAGGTGGCTGCTTCAAGCTAGGTCAAAATGTCCTATTTGCTTTGAATTTTTTTTTCCCCATAAAATTTTTCGTTTGGTGTCAAAACTAATTTGTCCTTTAAAAATGGAAAGGCAGAGCCGTGGGGTTTAGATAAACAAGCTAATGTATTTTAAACATTGACAGAATAAGCAGCACTTAATATTGATTATTTTACCAAGAAATATAAAATATTTATCCTGTTAGAAAGCTTTGTCTTCTCAAAACATAAGATTCCAGGATACTTTCCTACTTTTGGTTCAGGCATTTAAATTTTCTAAAGAAAGTCTAACAAGTTGCTTTTAAGAACTATGCCATGTGAAAGAAAACAAGAAACAACATCAACAAAATAGGCCTCATTTCTAAAGAATTACATCATTTGTAAAGTTAAAACAAAAGTAAGGAGCTAATGGCGCTTTTGAAAACATGCTCTAAGGACTGCTGATAAGACTCAGTGGGGAAAGGCACTTGCCACCAAACCTGAGGACCTGAGTTCAGTTCCCAGGACCCCCACGGTGGAAGGAGCGTCCTCTTTTGTCTGTGTGTACTCACTACCTCCAATAAGAATGGAAGTGTAGATGATTAAGTTCCTAAAAACATGATGTAATTCAGTTGTAGATTGCTTGCCTCATGGCTCTGGCTCTGAGGCCCCAGGTTCTGTCCTAGTGCTGAACAACAAAACACACCCTGTCGAACAGTCATAGACATTTCTGCTAAGCCGCCGTATCTCACCTAGAAAAACCAGAACAAGCTGCCATCTCTCTCAGATAGCCTGCTTGCTTGGATGTTTCAAGCTTCTCCTCTGCCATGTTGAAGGAAGATTCGGCTTAGTCAGTGAGCTTGCAGTTAACTGCCCTTTGCCTGGCCCTGCCCTCTGGCTGGCACACTAAAGTGCTCACCTACAGGTGGAAGAGGGTCTGGGGCACAGGAGAGAGAGCACACGCCTTGGTGACTTGGTCAGATTTCGGTAATTTCACCAGCATCCTCTACTCTTATTCCTTTTTACACATCCCTTTGTCCTTGAATGTCACAGTGAGTCTCGCTACTGTCCTCTAGATCAACTGTTTTCAACCTAAGGGTCACAGCCCCTTTGGGGCCCATAGACCCTTTCACAGGGGTCACCTAAGGCCACCAGAAAACATAGATATTTACATTATGATTCAGAGAAGCAAAATTACAGTTATGAAGTAGCAACAAAAATAATTTTATGTTGGGGGGGTCACCACAAGATGAGGAACTGTACAAAAGGGTCACAGCATTAGGAAGGGTGAGAACCTCTCCTGTAGGTGCCGTTTGTCTGCTTCTGTTCCCTGCTTAAGGCTGGGAAAGGGCAGAAAGCTGAGGGCCCTCAGCACAGGGGTACTGCATTAGCTCTTTCTCCTCCTGCCTCCAGCATCTAAACGCTGAAAGCACAGGATGCTCCTATCAGCGTGGACATCTGCTTTTCTTCTTAGTAAAATGGGGAATCTAAGTATTTTAACCCATGGGGCTGTGTGTAGGGGGATGAGCTAGGAGTGAGGTGCACACTGAGAAAAGTGAAGACTAATTTCTAATTTATTTTGGCCATAAAAACTCTGAAGAGAGCATATGAACAAGGCTGAACCTGGTAGGAAAATGCCCAAGCTTTGTACAGACTGACGACTGTTGAATGCATTGTTCAGATTGGGATACTTTTGTACATCCCTTAGCTATTTAGTTTCGCTGCTGATCCCCCATTGGAGAATGAAGGGCATAGAGTCTACTGACTTTAGGCTTATACATTTTACTTTAAACACTTATGTTTTAGAAAAGTATCTGCTTTGTGCTTCTAAAGAAAACCAGAGCAGTCAGTATTTATTCACCAGCACTAGGGAATCTAGAAAAAATCAGGTAAAATCTAAGCGCTGAGTTAGAGACAATCAAAGAGTGGAACCTGGGAAGACCGGGGAACAGAAAGTGCAGCAGTTTTAAGAAAAGAGTCGATAGTTCCTCTCAGTACTCATAGACAACATGGAGAAAAAAGAAATGGTGGCCTGGATAGGCATATGCAAAAAATTGGGAGAGGTGGGATTCTAGACACAGACCTTACACTTTTCATAAAAACTAACTCAAAACTGACAGGAAGAAACCCAGGTGACCCTGAATTTGGTGATGACTTTTTAAAATTATACCCATCCTGGGAGAAACAGAAAGATCAACAACAACAACAAAACCACTCCTGAAAATGCTGTGCTCAGAAAAATGACCAGTAACAAGGAGTTCAAGAAGAGAGAACACAGTAAAAAATAGATGGGGACAGTTAATGAATGCGTGATGAAGACAGGAAAGATGATACAATTCATGTGATCACTGCTGATGTGATCAAGAATCAAAGGTAAACCAGAAAGCCAATGAAAAGAAACTGCATATCACATCACATATCAACAGCTATAACATTAGATCCACCAGAAATTGTGGTAAATCTCCAAACTTGAGAACTATGCAAACATAAAATGAAAAAAAAATCTAACAAACAACAGAAGCAGGAGAACACAAAGATTAAGTTCTTAGCCATTTAACAAGTTCCTTAATGACTCGTGTTGTCAGGAAACAATACCGTTTTAGAATCATATGTCACAAACCTAGATTAAGCATGCTCCAGTTTGTTGCATTAAACACAGTGGTGTAACAACTGAAATTCCCACTCGGCTCACGTCGGAGAGCACTTGGTTATTTATTAGGCTGTGACTAATGAGAATGAGCTGTTTACCTCCTTGTGTGTGCCTGGTCAGTTTTCCCCCCGATACTCAACTCCACTAGGAAGTTGATGGCTATTTTGGAATAACCACCTAAATCAGTGATTTTCAACCTTCCTAATGCTATGACCCTTTAATA